GAGGAAAACAACACAACCACTTTCTCATTTTGTCACATTTATGTTAAAGCTAATTATACAAAACCCAATATCAGAATTCCACTTAAAAAAAATCACCACAGAATTTCAACTGTAGACATTGTTTTCTCATAGGTACTTCAGGCTTATGTGTTCTCGATAAATTGCATGAGTTAGGCTGTTTAGATGAGCAAAACAATTAAATTGACTGTTATGTTTTATCAAAGCACTTATTTAATATGGTTTGCACATGTCCCTAATATGAGTTTCTGCATTTTTAAGCTGAATTACGTAGTGACTGAAAATATGAAAAAATATTATATCACAGACTTTGGTGAGCGTTGACCTGTTCTTGGGTGTACCCTGTCTTGCCTGTTGGCCATTGACTTCTCATGAGAGATTCATTCATTTCCCGATCCTCGCTTCCTGTCCACACAAAACATTGAAAATAATTATTCAGATTCAGGCTGGATTTGACCAGCTGTCTTCAAACTGCTTTTGGTCCAAATTCTTGAAACTGCAATTATAATGCCATATATTTTTTTTTTTTACAAGAAAAAATGCATTTATTTTTCTTTACTAAAATATCGTGTTTATAAAAATAAACTGAAAAAACCTAAAACTACATTTTAGAAAATAAATGTCATTCTATGCATAGATACAGCTTAAAAAGTCTGTTAAATTCCTATTCAACATGTACGGTATATATAAATGTCAGTTTTAGAACTTTAAAAATAACCTCCTCTAGGAATAGATGATCAACCTGAATAGGTGTAGTTGTTATTAATGTGATGATTGTGTCTCAAACGTTAACCAAATCATGTGTTTAAACCAGTTTTGACATGAGAACCCTTGTGTCTAACCCAATAAATTGCCTGCCTTTATACAGTATAGTGCGTATTGTCAAAGCTAAAACTTGGGTTTTGATCAAATATAAATTGGGATTTCAATCAATCACTAAATCAACATTCTGGAAAAACTAATTTGACTAAAGCCCAAGAAGTTTTGAATCCACTGACATATGTGTAAAGAATGATGAAGGTACATTTGCAATTGGTGTATTTGTTGCATAATTGCAACAAATACACCGAAAATAATCCATTATTAAAGACAACCAATCCTGTGCTTGTAAAATAGACAAACATATTATGCTGTTTAAATTGAACGCTGACAGTGCCACTATAAATAAATATGAAAAACATGTGCTTTATACAGCTGAGCTCAGTCTTGCTTAGAATTTAAGTAACATGATCTAAAGCTTCTGGGGTTTAAAGATTACTTTAGCAATAGAAGCTTAAGAAAAATACACACACACACTCTGCAGGTTCTGATTGGTTTCTGGTCATACTCCTGAGACTTTTGCTTTGAAAAAGACACCTGAAGTATGTCCTTCATTATCATCCGGCAATGTTTAAATAGATGCTGCTACAATGATATGCTTATAAGGGTCTCATTTATAAGAAATGTCAGACTCCGTGTTCCACAAATTTAAGATCAAAGATTATTAGTCAGCATCTCCTGTCTTTTTTAATAATAATGCATTTGTTGATAAGATGTCAGAGCTCATTTGTGTGTTGGAAACACTGATCAAAGAACAAACCTTATTTGCATGTGATCACTTCAGCTTTGAAGTTAAGAAGCTGAGAGTCAAATAATTTGGCAGACAGGGACAGACAAGGCATGACTTCTGTATCGAACAGGGAGCAGAATTAGCATATCACTGCTGACATTATTTCAAAAAATCACAAACACATGGCTCATTAACTCAGGATTTGTTTTCTGTGGGCTTGCAATTTAAAAAAATATAATCTTCTCATATTTTTAGAGACAGTTTGTGTCCTGATGTTTGACGCGACAAACTATGCTGTATTTTTATTACAGACATTCCAACTTCTTGTTTTCTGTCAAGTCTTTAAGCAATTACGTCTGCAGCCCCCAGTGGAAATACATAAGCCTCTTTTCCATTGCAACTTGTCATTTACCCAGATAAATTCACTTTCTCTGGGTGTTACTCTTTTGAGCCTTTAAACCCTCTTGAGACCCAGTACTTTGTGGGCTCTTGAGGGGTGTTTGTGTACAGCTGTGGTGCTTTACTTCCACCAGTGGCAGAAGGGACCAGTGAAGCTGATTGAACAGATGAGTTAGAAAGGACACATCAAAACTGTACAAGAACAACTCTAGTTGTAACATCAGCTAGTCAGTCAGTTATTAAACAGTCATTGGAAAGTAGTTTAGAGATATTTTACATATTTTATTTAGAGTGGCAGAGTCCCTTTGTTAGATTAGTCTGACTCCTTGGCTAGTTACACTAACTGGGCTGTTGTAGCAGTCAAAATCCCAAGAGATAGCTGGTGTAGGTACCAGATTTGCTCTGCCCTGCGCATGCCAGTGATGTTGTGCGATATGATTCGCTGAACGTTGCCACATGACAGAAAACATTGTAGTTGCCCAGGCAACGATAATAGGTCTGGTACTAAGGTCTCCTATCATCTTTTTGAAGATGACATTCAGCCGTATTGCTACTTTAACTCCACTGAGATTCAAAAATCGGACTCTTTTATGAACCACTTTGGAAAAAGAACCAATGGTGTAGTGGTGTAGAGTGGAAGTGGCAAACAGTTTTTCAACTTAGTGTAGCGGCAACCTTGCGGTCACCGCTTCAGAGTAGGAGTATAGATCGGATCCAAAAGCGCTTCTTAAAAAAATAGAGGCATTTATTTGTCTTTAACTTGCATACCAACAAGAGCGCTCCCGCATCACATGGTTGAAAAACTGTTTGCCACTTCCACTCTACCTGACCGGTTGGAGATGGTACCTATCTATTACGTCAATCAATCAGCTTGTCAACGTCACGCCCACCATACAGGAAGAGAAGCAAATAAGCATATCAGAATAAAAACATAGACATATTTCCAACTAAAGATTAAAAAATAAATCAGTAGAATTAGAATGCAAATATGTTCATAACAAATTCAGAAAAACAAAAGAAATACAAAATGGCTCCAACAAATGGTTTGGGGCTAACTCTTTGCAGTTTAACTCTGATAAGTCTGAGGTGTTGGTGATCGCTCTTGACAATGTCAATGAAGAAATCAATCAGTATTTGGCTACGGTATTTGTATTTGGCTGGGGTACTGATCCTTACCAACGAGCCCATATTATTTTGGTTTTAAAATCTCTCCATTGGCTACCAGTGGTGTTTTGCCTTAATTTTAAAATCTTGGTTCTGATTTTTAAAGCTCTCTGTGGTAAGTCACCCTTATACATTGGAGCTCTGTTGTCTCCCTAAATTCCTTCTCAAAGGCTGAGGTCATTACAAAATAATCTTCTCATGGATTCTTATACCCATTTCAAGAAAAGACTAACATGCTAAATCCAGTCTGTGTCTATGTGTCCTTGTTTCAAAGCTATTTAACAACTCTAATGTGTGAGCTGTTTTAGTATGACTATCATATCATCATGCTCTTAACTGTTTAATCTTTTAATTCTGCATGTTTGCAAAGCACTTTTTGACCCCAGTGTCTGTAAAAGGTGCTACATACAGTAAATAAACCATTACTTGCTTACTTAGTTTTGACTCTGCCTGGTATCAATCGTACATTCATGCCAAAGGCCTTAACAGCGGCAGTCACTATAACTAAACTTAATGTCACACTGTTTCAACTCTTCAAAATAGAGATGGTAAATATATGCATAGTCACATAACCTACATTACCATTTATGTTAAAAAAAAATGTCCTATTTACCATAATTTAACATTAGCTTAACAGAATCTCTTTCAAAATTAAGAAATAATGATATACAGTTGAACTTAATTTACGATTCATTGCACATTAATCCAGTCACAGAAATCACAAAAGAATACTTTAAAGCTCATTGTAACCCTTTAAAACTTGAAAGATCTAGTGACCTCACCACAGCAGGCTCAGCAGAATTCTAGATGTTTGTATCAGTAATATCTAATCTGTTTATTTACTTAAAGTCACTTACATTAATGAACCCCTGTGAGGCTCCTCTATAGTTGCCATTCCTACAGTTTAATGACAAGTTTTTGTTAATCAATTACGCATTAAAACAATTGTCCTGTTAATTCTCTTACTTTTTAATCATAGCTAAGCTACAGATTTTTAGTACTTGACATAAAAATAACAGATATTTTTGTGACAAAAGTGCAAAAACTTAAATGTTTAGTTCCTAAAAGTAATAATTTGAATGAAAACATAAAATAGGTTAGACGGGATTGTAGTTAGATAAGAAAAAAAGCATTGCAGCCTTGGTTGTACTTCATCCCAAAGGAGTTTGATAATGTGGAGGTCAAGATTCTCTGCAGGTCAGTCAAGTTTCACTGCACCATATTTTAAACTCATGCAGCCATGGAAGTGATTGAAACTCATTGATGGTGGGACCCACTTGTTTTGGGGAAATAGTTTAAATGACCAAAGTGAAGCTAAAATGTAGACAGACATGTACCCACAACAAGGAGCCCACTAAAGTTCTTTATTTCTATAAGGTTATTTTTTGTCTTTTCCCAAATTCTGTTTTTATAATGAATCTTTCTAAAACCACTTTTACCAGTTCTTATAGATGAGAGGTGTCTCTGCAGGTGTCTCTGCTCTCTTCTCAGGCGCAGCTGATGTAGCAGCTAATGCTACCACAGCTGTTTCTCTCTCCATTTATTACTAATCAACCACAAATGTGAAACCTATTAGTCTCTGTGATATTAAGCTGTTTGAGTGCTTATGTAGGTGGAAGCAATCAGTAAGAGCAGAACAGCAGACTTTGCTTGAATAAACATCTTCCTCAAATTACACATGGTAGCAAATAACAACCATACTTACACCTTTTTTCCTGATTTCTTTAATAATATAACTTTACAACCATAAGCTAAACCAAATAAGAACTGTATTTCTTTTACATATTTTACAAATAGTATATCACCTTTCATTATGTAAATTAAAGCTTTGTTTTTTGTTTTGTTTTTTGTGTGTGTGTGGTTTTTATAGTGACAGCATGCCAAAGCGGATGGCTCTCATCTGCTTCCTGTCTCTGGTCATGCTCATGAGTGTCTTGGGAAACCTGCTGGTCATGGTGGCCGTCTGCAAGGACAGACAACTCAGGTGGGTCTTTGCTTTTTTTATGCTGCGAGTGTTACATCATAGTAAACCTAGTTTAGGTATGTAGTTAATACAATCCATGTTTTTTGTATAGAGCCAATTCACAATAACAGTTTACTCTGAGGACCTTACAGAAGTACATACAGGTCCAGACCATTTCATTCCAAGCACATTTGTTATATTTGTATTCACTCTAGTATTTAGACACCCCAATCTCATTTAAATGCACCTCCAAGACATTATGATTCACAACAACATGTAGGTTGTCTAAGAGGACCAGCAGATTTCAGTAAGGCTTCACCTCTTAATCCACTTCGAGCAGACAAGAAGCAACAGCAGATGTTTATATGCCTTCTGACTGTTTCTCCGATTAATGCTACTAATCTCTAAGGGCAGAAATACAAGACATATACATGAATTGAATTAATAAGATAATTAAGTGATGTTTGATGGTAAGTCTATTGTTACAATTATTTTTCATTCACAGCATTTCTCTATAACATGTTCTCTCACTGAGATGTCTCTAATGATGTGCGTCCTTTTAAAGACTAATGTACAAAATGCAACTGGTCATTCAGATGAGAAACCTAAGTTAAGCATAAAGTTGTGGTGGCAGAGGTGGAGCAAGCAGCAGGCTCGGACTGGTAATCTGTGATACTGGGCATTTGCCGGGTGGGCCGGTCCTAATTTCAGCGGGCGAGGGCCGGCCCTCCTTAGATCATACCATCTCCAACACTTGCTCTCCGGCCCAAGCGTCTACCTGTGACAGTAAATAACTCCACGAGCTCAAGAATTAATACAATATTTACTACCCAAATGATGCATGCAGTATATAAAGCCCTTCCTTGTCATGCACATCCTTGTAACGGTGTGTATATGGTGTAATTTTCTCTTCCTTCAAACTGTAAAATCCTTGCAACAAACTAAATTATAACAAAACTAAAATGCTTTCTTTAAACTAAACTACGATGTTCCTCATATATTTGGTGAATTTATGTTTGAATATTTGGCAAAAATATGTTGTGGTGCATGATGGGTTTTTACATCTAAAGGCTAACGTTTCCCTTCTTACGTTCATGGTTGCCAGGTTGGGATGTTTCCCAATCTGGCAGTTTAGGATGGCCGTCTATGGGTAAAAAATGTTTTTCTTTAGATTTATGGCCTAAGAGGTCAATAAACTTTGGTTCAAATTGGGCGAGATTTCGTATATTCAGATGGTTTATGAATATTTTTGGGGCTGGACAATGTGAGTCAGTGATGGCGCTGTACAGTATGTGTAAGTTGGTGTCTGGCTCGCTTCATGCAAGTTTGGACATTATGCAGCAGCAGTCACTGTCACGTCCGTGTTAATAACCAAAGCCAGTAAAACCGCATTAGAGAAGTCTTGTTGATGGTTGTCCTGTGGTACTTGAAGATAGATCTGTTAAACCAGAATGTCTATTCATATTGTGTTTATAAGTAGGCCAGTGTAGATAGAAAAATGCCAGGGCCAAAAATCGTTCCCAGTCCGAGCCTGGCTAGCAGGCAGTCCTGCTCAAACAGAGAGCTGCTGTCACCATCATCATCCTGTCCTCTCTTGTCTTAGTGTCTCTCTCCCTCTTTGTCTTTTCTTATCTCATGACACCTAAAAGTGCAGGGTAACCTCAGTCTCATCAATTTAACACGAAAGTGTCTGTTTGAACATTCATATTGCAGGATCACAGTGTGACAGATCTTTTACAGCAGCTATGACGTGTGTTGAACAATTAAAAGCAATTGACTTTCTACAATAAAGTGTGTATGGAATAAAAAAAAAACATTTAAAATCTCTCAATTGTTTTCTTACCTCCCTGTGGAGTAGATAATTATCTTTGTTACTTCCACCATCATTGCTCTACTGTCTTCTGGGAAAGTTGCACAGGGACACATTTACACATGATTCATAACAGAGGTATACCATGGATAAGCAATACTTACAAAAGTAATGCTCCTCATCAAAAGCTTTCCTTGCTGCCAAATATGATTTTTTTATTCCCACCAAACGTGCAACAATAAAGCAATAAATGCCTTACCTAGCACAAAATGTCTTATTTACTTTATTTATTGTATTGTAGCCTAATTTTACAAAATAATAATAACATTTTTTTAATGCATTCTGTTGAGATTTTATAATAAAGGCTAAATTTTTTAAGGTTATAATTAAAACAGCAAACAACATAAAAAAAAGTTTCAACAGTTCTTATAATTGTATTAAATCTATTATTCAAAACTTGAAATTTGAGTTTGCATTGACCAAAAACCTCTCAGTCTACAAGAGCGCCTGGTGGAAGACTTTCCAACCACAGCCAGACCACCAAAACTGAGGTTGACAAGATCAAGACAGCCATTAGTTTAGCTTTTTATGGAAGAGTACCAAGGAAATACCTATTGTTGAAAGATAGTCATATTATTAGTTTTGTTTATTGCAGGTGTGATAAAAAGGTAACCTGGTTAGATAAGACCAAAATTGCCATGTGAAAAACCATAATTATCTACATTCAAAAAATATAAAGCTCAACTGGTTTACAGTAATAACTTTTACTGGGAATGTATTAGTGAGTCAGATTGATGGGTGTTCATCTGGGAAGATATAAAAGCTTCTAAACAACCTAGAGGCACTTTACACATAAACCCACAATGCATCACTTCTTCTGCAGTAGCTAAAACCAACAGAAGGTGGTTCAGAGGGAGCTCAACTTCTCATCAATAACCACCACACAAACACAAGCTCTTGTTTCTCTCAGAGTGACATGTTATGTGTGCGAAGAAGATACCCACACACATAGAAACATGCTGCCACACATTCTGTTTATACAGGACACTGAACAGATCTGTGAGCAGTCATACTGATGTCATGTCAAAAACCGTTGGTCTTTGCAATATTTTTGATTTAGTTAACATTTCTTCAGTTTTTCTTTTTACTCACTTTAACTGCTGCCACCGGGAAAAGTTTGTATTGGGAATAATGCTTAAATTTACTGTACGCTGGTTCATTAATCACGTATCTGAACCACACACAGTTTAGATTAAATTAATTACATGGCTGATTCTGGGTGCTCTGTCCATACAACAAGAGAAACAACGATGGAGTTCAAACCTTGCATAGTGGTTTTATTTTTTACATGCAGACGTGATGGGGATCTCCAATGTTTGATATATTTAATTTCATTACCACATTTTTATGGAAAATGAGGTGCTGCTGGTTATATCAAACAGAGATAACCTCCAGAAACAAACCAGACAGAGGAGATATATTTACCAAGAAAAGATAGGTGGGTTCCACTTTGGTGATAGTTTATTCTTGCCTGAACAGGAGTCGATTAGGTATCTTTGGGGTAAGTCACATTTCGTAACATCCTTTGGAGTTTTTAAAGCAACCCTTCAACTCAGTGAACTAGCATCCCCGAGTTGATCTCTCTTCCTGTCATGACTTTAGTCAAACTCTCCCTATATTTTTTAGACTTGTTTTAATGTCTGTGGTAACCAGAATGATGGCATACGCTGATCACAAACTGAATAGAAAGCTTATTTTCATATGCTAATTGTACCAGAGATTATTAATTCCATGACACAGGGTTTCTCTTCTTTAAACATTTAAAAATTGCACAGTGTAATGAGGGCATCAGAAATTATAAGGTACTGTCCTTGAGCTTATGGAATCTGGAGGTTTAGGAAAAGGAAGAAAAAAGTTTAATTATTAAAGTCCCAGTGCTTTATCTAGTAGGTTAGGGAAGATTTCATTCTATATTTTTGCCAGTGTCAATTAAATATACCTCATGGGTAAGTGTAGTATAACGAGGAAATCCAGCAGATGGCCAAATCCTAAATGTTATCTTATTAAATCATTGCATATCTTCTCCCACAGTCATCATGGACAAACATGGACATTTTTATTAAATAATAATAAAACTGTTTGTTTGCATTTTAAATGATAATTGAAGCAATCCTTTTGTAGGTTTGCCATATTACTGCCTTTTGAAACATTTCAGTGTTTTTATAGTAATTGCTGAAATATCGTTTGAAGAAAGTTTTTTTTTTTTTTTTTTAGAAAATATTTCAATTATTCAGGGTTAATGCTGCAGTGTTTCAGCAAAGGTAAAATACTAATTTGTTTTGTTGTAAGGTCCTCTTGGTCATCTCATTAAATGATTTAATGGAAAGCATGCTGGAAAACAGTCTTGATGAAATGTTTCAGCTGTAGTCTACCCATTTTAATTGTCCATATTATTATAAAGAAAAAAAAATCATAAAGTTGCAGACAGAAGACTTAAATAGTCTCTGGTCTGTTGTTTATTTCTTTCCCCTTCTTGGCTGCACTTTGTTTTTCTTTTTTTTTTTTTTACTTAAGCAATACCCGATACCACGAGCATCTGCAATTATAATAACCTCAATCTATTATGTTTATTATCAATCTACTAATGTTTATTATTTAAAGAGTTTTTTAGCTAAACACATCATGTCATTTCAGCTAAACACAAATTGCTAAAGGTTCCTAAACCATTATGTCTACTGCCAACAAGAAGAGGTGTGTGCGCAACATATAAACAACTGCTTGTTCATATACAGATTTGGTGTGTGACCCATTTTTCTACATTATTTTGCATGTACTTGTGTGCTTCACTGATGTGTGTGTATGTCTGCGCTCATGAGCTCCACAAGCAGACAGCAGGTTGGTTCCATCACTAACCGCTTGTTTTGAGGCTCTGTTTGGGTTACAGACAAGCAGATTGGAAAGCCTTATAGGCGTCGGGTCACTATTGCTATTTATAGAATGAGAGCATCCACAGCAGAGACAGTGTAGAGGACATGGCAGCTGACTGAACATCTTTGTATTGTTAGTTTTTTGGTTGGAGTGGTTAACACGACAAATGAACAGATTTTGTGATTAAAGCTCATCAACTGACTTTGCTTGTTCTATTTTGATAGATCTGGTTTGTAAATAAGAGTTACTTAGAGTTTTATCAAAACTGCAGGCTATAATAGGCTACTTACTTTTGGGGTGATAATGAGACAATCTTTCTGTGTATCAGCAGTTCGGATCTTTGCAAACATAAAACCTTTTAGGGAATATCTGTGAGAGTGTTTTCCTGAAGGTGATAGATATATGTATTTTTAGGTAACCAGTCTCTAGAGATAGCTTGATCCTGCTTATCAATCCCATTCTAATCATCAACTATCAATTGCTGCCTTGGAATAGGCTTGTCCAACCCTGTATTATGAATTATTTGCTAAAATTTTGTATTGGAATCTAACTGCAGTCTTCACTTGAGTATTGCACTTTGTTATTCCATTGTAGTTTAGAAAGGAAAGTGTGAACATTTTTTGTTAGGTGTCATACACACCATTTAACATATCCCTAGTGGATTTTATATAAAAGCATTATGTTTAGTTTCTTAAATCTAAAAAATGTAAAAAAAAAAAAAAACAGGTTGGTGTAGATATAATTTATTCACCCGACTTAAGCATTGAACAATCACCTTAGGTCAACCACAGCTGCACGTCTTCACCAAACTTGCTTATCTGGAGACAGAAAAAATAAATTTCCTTTGCAAAAAAGCTTCATCTCATTCAGATTGGTTGATATGAGTAGTATGTGAGGAGTTTTTCTTTTAAGTTTTGCAATAGATATGGCCTTTGACTGGGCTATTGGGACACATGGATGTGCTATGATATAAACTCGAGGTCTCCAGCCCACAGGACCCAATTCCATCTCCTTTTCACAAGTATTCCTGCTCCAACGCACAGAAATAAACAACATTACGACTCTTCTGTTAATAAAGTTATTGAATGTCAGATTTAGGGAATATCAATGTTTTTCCAGAGACCCTAAGAAGCAGTAAGTATAACGTCACCATATCTAAGAATGCAGGGTTTGTTGTATTTCTTTTTTTAGCTTTTGCTTTGTAAGATCAAGTCTTCTTAGGAATGCTAATGATTGAACCTTGCAAATAAATGGGTTATTTGCTGTTTAAATAAAAAGAGATCAGCTAACATCTTCTATCTACAATTAGGTCTTGTGAAATGCTGAAAAGCTGCACAATTTTCATATGTCTTTAATACATACGTTCTCAAAACCAAGTCTAGTTGATTTCCCCATAGTCTTTTTGCAGCCACTAAACATCACAGTAAGAAGTGCGACATCTGTTGCAACCATACAAGCAAATACTTTCACTAAACAATAAAAAGAAAGAGACTTTATTGTTATTAATGAACTTCTTTTTCTTTTTCAGGCAAATCCTTGCCTTGAAAAAAAGTCAAAGTTTGTCACTAAGAAAGGGATTAATAGTCTAATGTGCCGTCTATATATATTAGCAATGAAGGTATATTTGGTTTTAGACTTTTTTTACACTCTTGTCTTCCTTTTGCAGGAAGACAAATTCTTGATCTTCTCACCTCTTTGTAGTTTACAACATTTATAGAACTGCCCAGGTGCTGAAGACGTATTGACCATTCTGGCCATTTTTGCTTTTATTTTTAATTTTTTTTAAGCTAGAAGATGGATGCATTCGTCTTCAACCTCTTCCCTGTTTTCAGTGCTTTCTCACATTTTTCTAAAACCTATGATTCTTTGTGTAAAGCAACTCATTTTCAGTTTTATTTTTCTCCAACTTTTTCCTAATCTTACTGTTTGAAGAAGCTCTATCATTTTAATTTGACTTAGTTTGCAATTCCTTTTTTTCATGACAAAAACATTATTATTCTAATGATAAAAAGAGGTGTTAATGTCTTCTTGAAGGCTTTCTGTGAGCTTGAGAGGATGTACCCTGCAGTGATTTGCCCCATTTTATTGCACCTAGCAGTCCAGCACTAATGACGAACACAGTATTATCTTGATTGCATTTCGTATTCTAAGTTAATCCCAATTAAGGGTAAAGTGGAGGATACTCTGGTGAAGATGAGGTCATTTGTCTAGATTTATACATGTTTAGTGGCTTTGGAGACTAATACTCAGCAGCTCAAAATTAATTGTAATAAAATTGGGTAAAAAGAAAACATATCAGCCCTGCGATGGACTGTCGACCTGTCCAGGGTGTACCCCGCCTCTCGCCCATAGACAGCTGGAGATAGGCACCAGCACCCCTCGTGACCCGGCTTGGGATAAGGGTGACAGAAAATGGATGGATGGATGGAAAACATATCAGGAGTTAATGCTTGGTTGTTAAAGTTTTGAGAATTTTAAAGAATTCTTATCTTTTGAGCTTTTTCAACTTTGGCAATATTGCAGCCAAAAAAACCTCTGTAATTTATTCACTTCTTGAGACTGAAGTGTTTTGCCCATTCTTCAAAGAAACAGCTCAAGTTTGTCAGGTAGGCTGCAGATTGCACGAGTACATTAATTTCAAATAATTAAATGCTCAATTTGATTTAGAGCTTGGGTTTTTGGGGGCCTTCTAATGCAAACCTGTTTTACTTTAAATCCTTATTTCTGCTGAAACTTGAAGTTCCATCTTAGTCATATGATTTTTCTAGTCTCAAAGAGATTTTCTTCCCACATTACCTTGTATTTGGGACAATCCGTCTAGCTTTGAACTCTACAAAGCTTCTTTCTCTTTTCTGCGGAACTCATTTCCCTTTTCTTGCCACCGTCACATTTCATATTGAGGTTAGTCGGTTCAAAGTAAAGTTGCGGCTTTAGGTTCCTTCTTACCTCAAATATTGTTTTGTGTAAAAAGAGGATAGTTTATTTTTGCTTCAACAAACCAGAGCACTTCCTTTCTATATTTAGGCCTGCTGTTTTCTCTACATGTTGTGGTGAACTGCAAAAGCCATATCTTATAGCTTTCTTTCAGTAATGGAGCTATTCTTGCTACTCTGAAATAGAGACCAGATTTGTTGATACAATACTGTCAGCAACTTCTCATACATGAGCTGTGGTTTTCTGCAGATCCTCCAGAGTGGCCCTGTAGTATGGGAATCGTTCCACCTGAACTTAATGACAATATTGGTTTTAAATAGACATTTAGTCAGATATGTGGCGGGTAATGTTTGGTTTATTGAACGAATTTATCTGTCCCTGTGCAAATAGGGTTGGCTGCCATTAAAGCACATATTCCAATATCTCTTCAGAGTGAGGACTGTAAATATGATATACTTCTGCTGAAGCTGCTTGCCAATGTAATTAGCACACAGAACAGTAGTAAGAATCATCATCCATTTTTGTCTGCTTCTCTGCCAGAGAAGGCTGGACCTATTTGAATCCATATCCAAACTCTACCAGTCTCCTTATTTTCACAGACCTAGAAGGACCCAGTCCAAGTACACTGGGTCCTTGGAGCATGCGGCCGCTGAAATCGAACACACCCTCAGTGTGTCCTCTGTCTCCACCCTCCTTTAAAGCCAATCACGTTTTTTGATTTCCCGATTTAATCTGGACATTTCTGTTGTAGTTTGGCGTGAACAGTGAAAACTAGTCTTTAGGTCTGTTAGAGACATTAGGTGTTAAAAACACAAACATAGTATGCCCTTCTGACGATGATCCAATTATAGATTGAGTGGCATTAATTCATAAAACATCAACTATTTATAGGGAGAAGGATCTCAGACTGCGTATAGATGTTCTTTATATTCAGAAAGTTATGCTCACTAGTGCTACCGTTTCACCTCACAATCACATAAATCAGACCTTATCCATCCTTACATTAGCAGCATTACACAGACTTCCTTAACAGATAGGTAACAGAAATTCATATTGGTGAGAGAACATTGATATGTATGAAAACAGCAGTCATATTTTTTATTATTTTGCTAAGAAACAAATGTTTCCCAGATATCTTAAATACATTTTCAGTCAAGCTGATAAATACCAAAATAGCCACTTTAAATCTATGAACATTTCTAGGTATCTAAAATGTAATTCCTACTAGTACAATTTAGTGTTTTTTACTGTCTTAAATTAAGTTTATGTGAAGAACAGAGTCTGGATCCAAATATAACCAAGACAGGTCAGTGACATTTGAAAACAGTTTATTTAACAGCTTGTTTGGAGAGCGGGACTAAATCTGAGTGGAGCAGATAGACTGCAGGCAGACAGGCAGGCAGATGTGTGAGGCTTTACCAGTTCGTGATCCAGGAGAGGAAGGCAGACAGTTTTTGCAGGGCTTCTCCGAGTTTGTCTTAAAGACAGATGGAAGCAGGCAGTCCAGCCAGACAGATTCAGGGATCCAGAGGTCCAGAGGCAAAACAGAGAGGATATCCAGGCAGGCAGAGTCAGAACAGGATGAGGCAGGCTCAGTATCAGGAGACGGAACGAGTCAGTAAAAGGGCGGACAACAGATACTTTACAGAGATGCTAGATTATTCTTACTGGGTTGGTGTGAGATAATCTGGCATTTATGACTGGTCTGATGGTGTATAAGGTGAAGGAAACAGGTGAAGCCGGTGAAAGCTGATTGTGGAACAGGTGGTGAGCAGGTGTATGGAATGAGTGATCAGCCCAGCATCAGTGCCGAAATCATTACAGTTTATGCTGGAAAAAAATGTATTTAGAAAATCAAAGTTCCAACTAGGAATCTTCTTTTTATCTGGAAGAATCCTATTTGGTGATTTAAAAATGGAGCAACTGAGAGAAGAGTGCTTTTAATAAATATGGCCTACCATATCAACTTACCCATTTACTACATATATATATATATGTATATATATAT